AAACTTCTGGCGCTCCGCGCGGGCTTCTCGGATCCGCGCTGGCCCCCCCCCTGGCGGCGCCTTCGGCGGCGCCCCTTCGGCGCGCTCCGCGCGCCGGCGAGGGGGGTCCCGCGCGGACCCCAGAGGTCCGCGCGGAGCGCCGCTGCTTCTGCCTGTGGGCGCTCTTTCGTCCGCTGTCTGACCGATTGCTGGACGCGTGCGCGGCTGGGCGCGCACGCCTGGGAGCCCCTGGCCTCCCAGGCGCCCAGGGGAGGAGGAGGAGGAGGAGGAGGAGGAGGAGGAGGAGGAGGAGGAAGACGAGGAGGAAGACGAGGAGGAGGAGGAGGATGAGGAGAAGGAAGACGAGGAGGAGGAGGAGCACGAGGACGAGGAGGAGGAAGATGAGGAGAAGGAAGATGATGATGATGATGATGATGATGATGATGATGATGAGCTGATGTGAGATGTGATGATGATGATGATGAGATTGATGATGATGATGATGATGGTGATGATAGATGCTGATGATGATGAGATGATGCTGATGCTGATGCTGAGTGATGATGCTGATGATATGATGATGATTTTTAATGATATGATGATGATGATGATGATGTGATGATGATGATGATGTGATGAATATGATGATGATGATGATGATGATGATGATGATGATGATGATGATGATGATGATGATGATGATGATGATGATTGAGGATGAGATGATGATGATGATGATGATGATGATGATGATGAGGAGGAGGAGAGAGGAGGAGGAGGAAGGAGGAGGAGGAGGAGAGGAGGAGGCGGATGGAAGGAGGAGGAGGAGTCCTGAGTCGAGTGGACGAGGCAGGAGCAGGACGGAGGAGGAGAGGACGAGGACGAGGACGAGGAGGGAGGAGGAGGGGAGGAGGAGGACGAGGACGAGGACGATGAGGAGGAAGAGGAGGGGAGGAGGAGGAGGAGGAGGAGGGGAGAGGAGGAGGAGGAGGAGGAGGAGGAGGAGGACCCCCGCCCCGACGGCGCTCCGCAGCGGGCCGCCCGCCGAGGGTGCGGCTCCCTCGCGAGCCGCCGCGGGCGCGGGCGCGCGGGCGCGCGCCCCGTGCGGCGTGCGCGGGGGGCGCTGCCCGAGCTGTGCTCGACCCCCTCCTCCTCCTCCTCCGCCTCCTCCTCCTCCTCCCACCTCCTCCTCCTCATCCACCTCCTCCTCCTCCTCCTCCTCTTCCTCCTCGGCCCCCGCGGCTCAGCTGGGGGTCGCCTCCTCGGGGCCAGCAAGGGCGCCCTCTGGGGCGCGTTCTGGCAGCTGCGCCTCGCCGGGGGCGTTCCGAGGGTGCCCGGATCATCCCGAACGGCCGCCAGGAGGCCGAGCGGTGACCCAGAACGGCCGCCCAAATGGGGGGGGGGTCATGGCAGTTTTCCAGCCTCGGGGCGCAATAGGGGCCAGCGAAGGCGTCCTCGAGGGCGCGAAGTTCCTCGCGCACCGCGCTTGCCGCGGCTCGGCTCGCCTCTTCTCAGCCTCCTCCTTCTCCTCTTCGGCTCAGCCGTAGCCATATTGGCTCAAGATGCTTTGTTCCACAGGGGAACGCGTGGATACCGTTAGTCCGCGGCCAGTGTGCAGTCCTTCCCCTGGTCAGCCCCATGGCGAGCGCCGAGGTGGTCCGCCCCACCTCGGCTTCGAGGCCCGCGCAAGCCCCACTGGTGCTGCGGGCAATGCGGGCGCGCGGAGAACTGGGCGTGCCGCATCCAGTGCCTCTGCGGCCGCGACGCGCCTGCTGCCATCCTCTCGCGTGCTCGCCAGAAGCACAAGAGGACGCCGATGCTGGCGGAGGCGGCGGCAAGAAGGCGGGCTTCAAGCAAGGAGGCCCGGCGACGCAGGGCATCCCCAAGCAGCTTGCGGAGTGGATGCAGGCCATCGAGAAGCGTTTGGCGCCGCCCGACAAGGAGTGGCCCAAGCCTGGCGGCACAGCGCCGCGGCGCGAGGCCGCAGACGGCGCTGACCCTGATAAGAAGTCGCAGAGTGCCAAGCTCGGCGAGCGGATCACGGAGCTCGAGGGGTGCCTTCCGAAGCTTCCACCCGCCGACGAGCGCAACAAGGATCTTCGGGGTCCGATCGAGAAGCAGTTGGAGACGCTGCGTACGGAGAAGCGTGCGCTACTGTCTCCCCAGGCCCTCCATCGGCGCACGCAGCAGGATTTGCAGCGGGCGCGGAACGGCCTGGAGAAGTTGGAGAAGGAGTCGGGTGAGCAGGAGCGCCAGCTTGAGGAGTTGGCCAAGGGCATCGCGACGCGCAAGGAGACCATCGCAGCGAAGAAGTTGGAGGTGGCGGCGCTGGGTGCGGCGTTCAGCGAGTCGGCCAAGAACGTCACCACCGTTGCGGCCGACATCGACCTGGTTGAGGACGACGTGGCCGACCAGCCCGACCTCGTCGCGCTCCTCAAGTCTGAGGCATGGGTCAAGCTCAAGTCGGCGGTCGCCAGCAAGGCTGCTGCCCGTGCCGCCAGCGCTGGGACTGTTCCTCCTGCTGCTGATGCTGCTGATGAGGCTATGCCTGCCCCCACGGAGGTGCAGAAGCGGGCACTCTATCATGCTCGGAGCGAAGGCAGCATCGATGACTTCATGTCCGCCTTCGACACTATGTGGTCCGAGCTGGCGGCCAAGCGAGCGCGGCATGGGTAGTCCTTCGACTGCCTGGCCTGACGTTTGTGGGCTGCCTGGGCGTGGGCGGGCGCCGCCGAGCGGGGTCAGGCCGACGGTCGGCGCTGAGTTCAGCATCGAGACCTACAACGCCAGCGGCGAGAAGGCGTCCGTCAAGAAGCGCCTCGCCAGCACGATGGCGAGCGTGGTGCTGCTGCAGGAGTTCGTGCACATCAGCGAGCACGTCGAGGCTGTGGCTTCATGGTGCGGTGTGCGGGGTTGGAGGCTTATGGCGTTGCCGAGCCTGCCGGCTTCTGGTTCTGTGCCGTCGGCAGGTGTTGCTGGTGCCGTGCGCGATCGTCTCGGACTTCGTCCTCCTGCCATCGGTGTGCATGAGGTCGTCCCGAACCGAGTTCAGAATGTTCTCATAGATACACCCGAGCTGCCTGTCGGCCTGCATGCTTTCAACGTGTACCTGCACACTGGTGAGGGCGCCGCTGGCCGCAACGGCAGGCTTTTGCAAGAGTTGGGCCTCGCTGCTGAGGCACTGGGCGGCCCAGTCGTCATTGGCGGTGATTGGAACATGTGCCCGGGCGAGTTGGAGGCGAGCCAGTTCCCCGCTCACGTTGGTTGTTCGATTGTGAGCTCGTCTTCTGTCACGTTTCGAGGAGGTGCAGGTCAGTCTGTCATCGATTTTTCCTCCTCAACTCAGCGGCCATGAGGATGCGTGCCAGTGTCGGCATTGCTGTCAAGTGGGCTAAGCGAGGCCATCGGCCTGTTCATATTCTCCTCAAAGGTGATGCTGAGCACGTCAAGCGGCTGGTCTACACGGTGGCGCCAAAGATGGGCACCCAGATCATCATCGGGCCGCAAGTGCAGCCGCCCACCTACGCCAGCGCTCGGTGCGTTGCCGAAGCTGCTGTCCAGTCGCGTGGCGATCCTGAGTCTCCCCCTGGAGTTGGATGGGGCCTTTTCTCGGCGGCGCGGGGCCACTTCGCTGTCGCAGCCGCAGGGGCTATCGCGAACGCTGTGGGTCATCCGGATCGCAGAGTTCTTTTTGGTTTCGCTCGGTACTTGCAACCTCGGTGGGCCGACGTCACCAATGCGGCCAAAGACGCGTCCGACCTGCAGGCTGAGGCCGAGGGTTGGCAATGGTTGAAGTCTTCCCTCCTCAGCATCATGCAGTGCAAGACGGTGGCCAACCCGGCCGTGCCGGACCTGTCGTTGGCTGCTGAGGAGATCTTCAACTTCGCGACGGCCAACTACCATGGGCAGGGCCTTGCCGCGCGCCTCGATCGATCTGTTCAGCAGGCGCGCGGCGTGGTGCAGGCTGGCTTTGAGGAGGAGGCATGCCGCGAGCTCCTAGGAGACATTGAGCCCGACGTCAAGCTCGCGATCAACGGAGCTACCCAGGAGGACCGCCAGAAGTGGAAGGAGTGGTGCGCCATGGCCGTTTCCAATGGCTCACGCCTCCTCCACCGCACTACGAAGTACCGTGACGTTGCTCAGCCCACGGTTGTCCCAACGGCCCATGGTGCGTCGGCTCATGTGCACGATGTTGTTCGGCACGAAGTGGAGACGTACAAGAGGTTGTGGTCCACTTCCCGTCCAGTGCCAGCATGGATTCCTGACCGAACGGCGTTGCCGAAGGTGAATCCTGGCGAGATAGGTGCAGTTGCGCGATCGTTCTCGCACGACACCACGGCAGCGCCTGATCATTTTAATCCCCGTCGCCTCCTTCTCTTGGAGGGTCAGGCCCTCGAGGTGGTCGCCCTGGTGTTCAAGGCGATGGAGTCTTTGGGGCTACCGCCGAGGCAGCTGTGCTGGTTGATCGCGCCGATGCTACCCAAGACGTCTGGTTCTGGCAATCGGTTGGCGGTGCTCTACGCTGGGCCCTACAGGATTTGGCAGCGGATGCGACGGCCAGTGCTTCGAGAGTTGCAGGGGCAGATTGACAGGCCGTGCTGGGGTGCTGCTCGTGGGCGGCCCTCCGTCGACTGCGCGTGGCTTCAGGCGGCTGAGGGCGAGGCCGACAGCAAGCAGCCCCAACGTGGCGCACTCGCAGTTGCCAGTTTCAACAAGTACTACGAGCGCATTCCTTTGACCAAGCTGCGCGACAAGTACATCAGTTTCATCGCGCCCACGGCCTTCCTGAAGTTGGTGTGCAACATGTGGCGTGCGCCACGTGTGCTGAGGTTAGCTGTTCATCATGCGGAGCAGGCCCTTTGTGCCGAATGCGGCCTCCCTGCTGGAGATGTGTTTTGTGATGTTTCGGTCAAGGTATGATCTGCGAGGTAGTATGACAGCTTCCTTGTCAGACAGCCGTTCATTCAGTTTGTGAGCTACATTGACGACAACTCGGTTCGGGTGTCGGCTACCACGGCGAGCACGACTACTTCATGATGGTCAACGCAATGCTGGAGTTCAGGGAGGCGGTCACTGAGCTCGGCGCGATCATCAACGACAAGCTAGTGATTGTCGGCACCACCCTTTCCCTTGCGCAGGGCATCGCGCCCAGGCTCGGCCGACCTGCCTCCGTTGCGAGGCGCAGCGCTGTCTATGTTGGCGTCGACGTCAGCGAGGGCAGCATGGGGGGCCGACCAGGGAGTGCCCACCAGGCGCGCCAAGCGCAAGGTGCACATGCTGAGGCGCATGCGGAAGATCAGGCCCTTCGGCAAGGCCATCACTGGCCACAAGGCGCAGTCTATCGGCCGCGTCATCCGTGCTGGCGCCTTGCCCGAGGCCACCTGCGGCAGTGAGGTCGTCGGGCTCAGCAACTCGGAGTCGCCGAGGTGCAGGCGTGATGTCGCTCGAGGCCAACTTCCTGTGCATGGTGGTGTGAGCCTTTCGAGCAAGACTGTCTTGCTCGGTGATGGCGCCGCTGCATCCGCTATTGCGCCTGCCATCCAGTGGTGCAGAATGTTGTGGCAATCGGAGGTCTGCAGACACCCGCTCGCTGTGCGTGCTCGCTTGTTGAGGCTATGGCGTGAAGCCAAGCCTTTTTCAGGTCACCGACTGGGAATCTAGTCGTGGCCCCTTGTCTTTATTTTTTTTTTTTTTTTATTTTTTTTTTTTTTTGTTTGCTTTTTTTTTTTGTTTTTTAGTTTTGTTTTTTTTTTTTTTTTTTTTTTTCGTTTTTGTTTTTTTTTTTTTGTTTTTCTTTTTTGTGGTTTATTTTTTTTTTTTTATTTTTTTATCTTTTTTTTTTTTTTTTATTTTGTTATCTTTTTTTTGTTTTTTTTTTTTTTTTTTCTTTTATTTATTTTTTTCTATGTCTGAGGCTTGTGCTAGCTGCGCAGCGTGAGGGCTGGCGAGGTCTATGACCACTCACGGTCAATCGCGCAGCTAGCACAGCTACAAGATAGAAAAGGCGCACGACTTAGAATCCCCTTCGGTGATCACAAAAACTGCTTTCTTTCACTCCCTGTCCGCCCCCACCGCCCATCGCTCCCCTCCTCTTTTTTCCCTCTCCCCCTTCTCTCCCACCCGTTTCCCTTCTCTTTCCGACCCGAGAAAGCCTTGGATTAGGCACCTTATCGAGGAGCGACAATCGACGTTAGCAAAACGCCTCCGAGTATGCTTTCAACTCTCATTTTTGCTGGCATTCAGCGCCAGCACGAGAGGGCTTTGGCCATGCAGCTGGGAGCTCCGACAGGTTGCAGGGCCTCGCTTGACTTCGTTCGGTCGCCGGTCGGCGATCGGTCTCGACGGCTCTCTAGTCTGCAGAAGTTGCGTGTTGGGAGCTGTTCATGCCGCGGAGTCTGGACCAAGGCTCGCGCCCGGGCTGCTGGCTACATTTGCGATGGCCTTTGTGCGTGCGGCCAGAGGCAGACAATCAAGCTTTGTTCGAATGAATGCATGCTGCCTGCCGTCGTCGCCGCCCGCACTGAGGCTAAAATCAGCCCCCCTATTCATCAGTGCAGGTATCGGGTCTGACGATCCCATCTTTGTGCAAGGAGCTCTCCTGTATGACGAGGGGGAATCCCCCCCCCCCCCCTTCCTGCTCGGATAAAGTGGTCCTCGGGGGCCCTGAGGGGGAGGGGTTGGCGGTTGAGTTTGAGGGTGTGGCGTCTCTCGTTCAGGGCCCTCGATTGGACGTAGCCCCCGACGGCTCCTGCACACGGCCAGGCTTAGTGGAGCTTGAGCGCGCGTCGTGGGCACTTGCAGTGCTGTCTCCTGAGTCGAATGTGCCCGTGGCAGTAATTCGAGGCCCTGTAGCTGGCGACCTCCCGCAAACGCCGAGTATCGCCGAAAGTGTTGCGCTTTGCTTGATTGGCCAGATCGCCGACCGCGAGACCCTGGCTGGCAGCGACTGCATCCCTGCGATTCGGCGATTCCAGCAGCCTGTTCAATCTCAGCTGCGCGCGTCCAACCAGGCCGCTGGCATTCTGAAGTTCGGTCGTGGCCTGGAAGGCCACCAATTCATCTCGGTTCGGCACGTCAAGGTTCGTCGGTCCCTGGGGCAGATTGACAGTCTGTCGGGCGAGGAGCGCCACTGGGCCGAAGCGAACCGTTTCGCCGATCACCACGCTAAACTTGCCGCCAGTTTACACCCTGCTCCGTCGCTTGAGTTTTTGGCCAAGCTTGACCTCGCGAGGAGTCGGGCTGCCGATTTTGTGGCGCTGGCTGCTGCAATCCTCCCGTGCTCTGTCGAGGAGAGGCCGCAGCGGTGGCGGAGACCCACGCCACTGTGCCGACAAAGGAACTCTCGGGGGGAGGGGTGGCACGCTTGGGGTCTGGGGGAGCTCGGCTGGCAGTGCGAAGTCTGTTTCAAAGTTTCGCCATCGTGTCGTAACTTGCCTTTGAATGATTGTCTTGGGACCCCGTCGTTTTTGAAGCCTCTCACGGTTGACTCGACGGGACATCAGCTCGTCGCCGTCAGTGGCTCTCGTCTTGCTCCGTTGCGTGCTGTGCGGTGCCGTGCCGAAGAAGAGAGCACTAAGGCTCGACGGGGATCCTTGTTGTGTCTGAAGTGTGGAGGTCGGAGCCAGGAAAAGGCCATTAAGTTGAGCAAGCCCTGTGCCCCCTCCACCTGCACTGGTAAAATGATTTTGTCGCGTTTTCGGAGAGGGCTCGCCCCGAACCCCCGAAGTCGTGCGTTGATCGACCGAGCGATTCCTGCCCCACGTGTCGGCCTCACAGTGGCTAGTGCGAGGGATGTCAGAGCGACGACTTCAGTTGTTGAGTACTCGGTCGGCAGTGCCATCTCGTATGAAGCTCGAATGGCTCGCTTGATGGAGCGAGTTCGAGCCCGCGAGACTAGCCGCCAGGTTTAAGGTTTCGGAGCGGGTGCACCTGTCGCGAGCGCCGTGCGTGGCTTTGTCACCACGCTCGGCCTCGCAAGATCTCCCCCTGATGGTGCACCTGCCCAACAAGTTTTGCGGGCTGGGCCCTCTCTCCTGGGACTGTCCTCCTGGGAGTCGTCTCGTCTCATCTCATCTCATCCTCTTCGGCTCAGCCTCTTCTTCTCGTCCTCCTCTTCTCGTCCTCTGCTTCGGCTCATCCTTTTTCCTAGCGCCAAGCGTTTCGCGCCCTCCGCGGTTCGGATTCATCCTCATCCTCCTCTTCTCTCCTGGGAGGCGGCGGAAGAGCGCGAAGCTGTTCGCACTTCGCGCTTCGCGCAGCGCGCAGCGCGAAGTTGGGAACCCTTGGCCAAGGCAAGGCGGGCAGGCCTGGGGCTTGGCATCGCTCGGACGTGTGCACTTGTTTCTCGGCGAGGACCATCGAGGACCATCCTGGACCATCGGGCAACAACAACAACACGCACGAAACCGAAACATGCACGGGAAATGGGCGTCCGAGCGACGGCAAGGGGGGAACCGGGATGCATCATGCCGCGGGTGCTCTCGGAGCGTCCCTGGGGACGCCCCGAGAGACGCCGCGGCGCCCGCCACGATAACCGTCTTGGCCCGATCCGAGTTTTTCCTGAGCCTGGCTTTCAGTCTGGCCTGTCCCTCTGCAGGGGGAATATTCCAAAGTGGTTTCAATAACCAAAAATACAGGGACTCTTTTGTGAGCATGTATAGACATTTTTTTAGTATCTGTGGAGTATTGTTTATTTCGGGGGTGGACAGAACCCCCAACAGTGACACGTCGATTAGCGAATTGTCCGTTTGCGGTTCTCGAGAGGGCGCCGTGGCCGTTATTTTCCAGGTTCGCGCCCGCCAGGTTTGGGCCTCGGGTCGTTTTCACCAAACCACGTTTTGCTAAAGGGAGGTTTGTCCATCCCCGATTATTTGTCGTCGCGAATCCCCCTGCAGGGGGACACGCCCGACTTGAGCCTGGCTTCACCTCAGCAGGGCGGCGGCGAGGGCCGGCAGGCCGTGCGGCAAGCGCGGCGGGCGCGCGGCGAGGAGCGGGGCTCGTGCGCGCGGGCGGTGCAGGCCTCTGCTCGCCGAAGGGGGCCGCGGAGAGCTGGTGTTAGGTCGGGACTGTGCCTCTACTCGAGGAGATATACAAAGATAGTAAAAAAGATAGTGGAACAATCGTCAAACAATTCGCAAACTACTCACATATATTCAACCATACTCACAACAAACAAGCAAACATAACACAGTCAAACATGTTCAAACATGGTTGAAACAGAACCTGGGGACTGTGTTTTGGTATGTTTGGGGCATCTCTGGGGGGTCCGTTTGGGGTATATTTAGTTTCTCCTCGAGAGTCCCCATGTACAGTCCGGGCCCTGAAGAAGGAACCCTTTGCGTTGGAGAGGGGCCCGGCGTTCCTTGATTGTTCTGCAGCTTGCTTTCAGCTTTCCCGAGGTTTTCCCATGGGAGATCTAAGTTCAACGTATGGGAGAAAAGGGGCCCCGCTCCTTATTTGAGGCTCCTTAGGTCAACGCCTCGACTGTAGGGGGGGGACAGGCCCGACGGGAAGCTGGTGGCGGGGGAGGGCCGCGAGGGGCCGCGAGGGCCCGCGACCCTCGCGACGCGGGGCCCTCCGGCCTCGGAGGCCGCCCTCTCGGCTGCGGGGCCCGCGGCGTGCGCCACTGGCGCGCCGCCCGCTCGGGGGGGGGGGGGGGAGAGGCGGAGGGGGGGGCCGGCCGCGGACGACGGTCGGGAGGAGCAGGAAAAAGGGGGGAGGGGGACCCAGACCCCCTCGAGTCATGACGAGAGGTTTTTCGCTATTTTCGGCCTCCGGGGGCCCTTACCGGCCCTCAGGACCGTCAACAAAACGACTCAGGATGAAAAGCCGGTCCTGGGGAATGGGTCCTTGGACTTCTTGTTCTGTTGTGGATTATTTCTTCTATATTTTGTTTTCCCTCCTCGTTGTTCTCTCTCTTTATGGTTTTAGTCTATATTTTCGTCTGGGGGAAGCGTTCATGAAAAAATCATGACGTCGGGGGTCTGGGGGGAGGAGGGAGGGAGGGAGGGAGGGAGCAGAAGTCAGGATGGGAAAAGAAGCACACAGGACACAAACTGATCGTCGCATTCCCAGGAGAAATATGGGGAGGAAAAGGAGTGAGGAAGCGGGGGGTGGGGGAAGACAGAGGACCCAGAAAGTATGAGGGAAATGTTGGGGCTCTTTTAGTGTGTCTTTTCTTTGTTGGTCCTGGGGCCCTCCCCTTAAGAAGGCAGAGAGGTAGGGAGGGAGGGAGGGAGGGAGGAGCAGGGAGGGGGGGGGAGGGGGGGAGGGGGGAGGGGGAGGGGGGGGGGGAGGGGGGAGGAGCAGGAGCAAGAGGAGGAGGCACAGGGGAGGGCGGGAGAGAGGCGCCGGAGAGGGGGCGGAGGTCGGCCCGGGCCGTCCGGGCGCCGCGGGGAGGGCGGCAGGGGGAGCCCCGGGCGTGCCG